CCCTTCTCTGGACACGCTCCAGCACCTCAGTGTCTTTCTTGTAGCGAGAGGCCCAAAACTGAACACAGGATTGGAGGTGCAGCCTCACCAGTGCCCAGTACAGGGGGACGATCACTATCCTAGTCCTGCTGGCCATGCTGTTCCTGATGGCTCATTCATCCAGCTGTTGCCCAACACCCTCAGGTCCTTTTCCACCTGTCAGCTTTCCAGCCACTTGTCCCCAAGCCTGTAGCACTGCATGGCTCAAACCAGGAGTTGCTTTTGCAAAAAAGTTGCAAGAACAACCTGAATTCTACCAGGTTTGTGATTTGGTGGAGTTTTTAATTTATTTTATTCTAACACTTCAAACATACACTCAATGACTGTGTGAGCTGTGGAGGTTGAAGTACCAAATGAGGGGACACCTCCCTCCCACGTGTTATGGATGTGTGCACTAAAGGGAACGTACCTCATTCAGTGAATCCTCCCAAGATGAATCACAGTGACTACCAGTTGCCTGGATGTCTAAGATGATCTTAGGGATCCAATTTCCTGGAACAATAAAGCTAGTGATCACTTGACTTTGAATGAACAAAGGAAAATATAAGTGGGGATGTGAGTAGCTTAGGGATAGATAATTCTGCCTTCTGTCCTGACAGCACTTCTGTTATTCCTTAAGAAAAAAACCGAATCATCTAAGGGCTTGCTGGAGGAATTGTTCGTTTTTATATTAGCTACATATTTTAAAAATGTTTATATACTTAAGGCACTCATTCTCTGAGTCTTTTTGGACAGATGTGCTTTTTTCTTTCTGAGCAAAGACCACAACAGCAGTTGCAGCACCTGCTATCCTTTCTCAACCGCTGCAGTTGTGCTGCGAGCAGAGAAGGGGCATAATGAAATTTAGAAAAGCTAATGCCAGATCTATTTTGGTAGTGACAGTAAAAGCCTCCCCCGGATTAGATGGTACCAGAAAATAATAAGGCTTGAATGTACCTTTTGCTGGTTTAGCAAACTGGGAGAAGCAGGTCCTTACAGAGCAGCAAAAATAAGGTTTTTATCCCTGTGTTGCTGAGAACTGCAGCCTGACCCTACCAGTAGCTGGACTAGACACCAGGG